ACAACAACAACAACAAAAACAAAAAACAACAACAACAAAAAACAACAACAACAAAAAACAACAACAACAAAAATACAAACAAAATAAAAGCAAAACAAAAACAAACCAAAAACAAACAAACAAACCCAATAACAACAAAACCAGTAAAAAACTAGAACAACAAACAAGCAAAAGACAAAAAAATCCCCACAAAACGAAACACGAACGGAGCTTACAACCTTACAATGACCGCCCACGTTTCTTGACAGATTTAATTCGGGCAGAAAAAGAAACTGTCATTATTATAGTAGCAATTCAGAAGGTCACCGCCTACCACCCAACAGAGCCTGTTCCCGGTTCCCACGTTCGCTGTCTTCTCTTTCCTCATTTACACACGCAAGTGAAGCCTCAGTCAGTAACACGTCCAAGTACAACAATTGAGTGTGGGGGAAATACGCCCTCCAAACTGCCAACCAAACTCCAAAATACGCGTATTATTAACAAATGTTACAGAGACACTGCACGAACAAAAGCCAAAGTTATAAAAGTATTTTCCTATACACCCACACTCCTAGTCATAGTTTGCACAAGTAGGTGGTTCTACAGCTGCTTTTTTTTTTTTGGGGGGGGGGGGGGTTACTTGCTGTTTTTAAGGATAGTTTTTATTTAGCCAGTCAAAAATTGACCATGACGCACATACGTCATGTTATTATGCTATTAAAGGAAACATCGAACATCAAGAAGAATTTTTTGTTCTGAATGTGTCAGAAATGGGTCCGCTGATTGTCCAGACGTCACTCACCCTATTACATTGTACCTATTACGATACTCATTCTGCACGATTTGAACTGTTTTCGAGGTATTTGTGGTATCGAAAAAAATCTTAATCTGTATCCTCCTCCCCACCTCCCACCCTTTCTAGAACAATGCCGAAGAACCTGCTGCTCTTACAGCCATCTGAATAAGACAATCGTCTGTATAAACGGCCACTTCCCATTTCCCGCCCTCGCGTTTATTAAAAAACCCATTATAATGACACCTAACACTGTATAAGATATCCACCTTCCTAGGACAACCAATTTTCTCCTTGATAATGGGTGACCTTCTTGGATAATTTCGACCGTACATTTAAAAAGTCCCGGTTAAAATAAAACAAACGACTCCGCTCTGTGCCCACTACGGATGGAATCGGCCGATCGGCCGACTCGGTCGCCTAAAAAACAAACGTGTTTGTTTTCAGTTTCAGGCGACCGAGTTGGGCGATCGGCCCGATCCAGCTGTAGTGGGCACCCCGTATTAGATAACAGAGATATGCGGAAGGGAGGAAGGATGTTGCACTGTGTCTGTGATAGATATTTTTTGGTGCTCTCTGTATACCCCAGGAATGTGGGGAGAGAAGAGGGGAATAACACATTTCACTAATCATTTCTATTTTGAAGATCCAGAGGATTGGCTGAGAACCAAGACATCAGTAACGAGCTTCTAAATCACTAAATGGACACCTCCACGCTAATTTTTTAAAGCATCCCGCATTTCTGGTGCAGCGGTTAGGCGCTTTGATATTGCATGCAGAAGATATGACTTCGTTTCGCGTGTGGGGAGGCGGTTTTTTAAATTATATTTTAAATCGGGATGGGATGTTGTGTCCTTCTCAGCCCGGACTGGCCGTGGCTGGAATGGAAACCTGTTTTCTAAATACATGTAATCTAAATAGTGTCGACGGGGGCGTAAAACACTTTGGACTACACTAATTTAAACCCCTTTAAGCCATTTGTGATTTATTAATAGACGCACCAGCTGTGCCTGTTTAGATGCTGCTTTAGCCAACGCTGTTTAAAAGAACAACCTCTCCTTCAAACTTTCTCTATATCCGCGTACGTCACTTTAGGACTGTTTAGTTTTGTAAGTGTTTTTCATGTACGTGCCAACGATTGGAGGTGTGACAAGAGAGTCACAAACCCATAAAAAGGAGGGGAGATAAGGACGATAGACGTTTGATAGGAAAAAAGGAGCAAATCACACCACAGCATCCGTCAACCATCCACGTCAACTAGGACGTGACTTTTGCCAGCATTTACCACTTCACACAGCAACAACGAAAACAACAATAATTACAACGTGCCAGCAACAGGAAGGAGCATCTTCCTCCCATTGTCTGAGCGAGCTCTCTGCTACAAGTACCTCTCTTCCTGCCTCACCCACCGCTCCCCTCTCTTGTAACTCTCCACTGTCCTCTTTACCGAGACAAACACTTGACGCTCTGGATCTGGCACGCATTTTGCTCAGTTGATACCGAGCTGAACGAGTCTGCAGATGAACTTGGTTCAAATCCCGCATTGGACACTCTTGAACTTCCACTGGTTGGGCAGTTCATAACACCCTTCATCTCACTGATTCAGATCTTTGTGAGTTTAGGCCTTAAAATCAAAGGTTCTGTTTCTTAATTAAGCTTTCAGCGTTGAATGAGGCGTTAGATTTTACCATAAGACCACAGATAACCCTTTAATTCTCTGATCGTTTTAGTGGAAAGAATATAACAAAACATCATTAAAGCAAGACACAGACACTGCCCTCATAAACCCAAGCAAATATACAGCAATTGGCTACTCCAACAACCCCCCCCCCCCAGAAAAATAAATAAATTAATAAACAAACCTAAAACATCCAAAAAAACCCCCCCAAAAAACCCCAAACAAAACAAAAAAATGTTACTGAAATATAATAATGCCATTGTATGGCATGAAAAGATTTTTTAAAATCCTGACCATGAAATTAATGAACAACTACTCAACATTTTCTTTAAAAATTACTACAGAAACTTAACATTATAATTATAATAATAATAATATGTGCCCAACATCAGGCTGTGGCATCCCTCCTTAACAGATCAAGTTGTGTGCTATGGCCAGGCCGGGGTGCGGTCCGACTGGCGCGCCCACAATACTCAGGCGTGAGACAATTTTGAGGAAAAGAAGCGTGGTGATGTAGCTGAAACAAGTGCACATACGAAGGGAGGCACAATGAATCTCTGACTCTGACCACCTTAGGACAGTTTCCTTGCCCTCACCGCACCCGTCTCTGCCAATCGGGGATTGGCCTGAACTGCCATCTCCACACCCACGCAAGAAAAGGAAAAAAGGCATTGTGCAGTGCTTAGAGTCTTCTAGGAATTAGGTGTTACAATTATTATTATTATTATTATCATTATTATTTTCATTATTACTACGAGTGTCATCATCATTATGACTATTATCATCATTATTATTATCCTTTTTATTATTGAAAGGATTGACAACTAAATGAGGAACTGTGCACTACAATATATGTGTAGACCAAAAATATAATAATTAGCATTTTTACTAGAGACCTCTAGGTAGGTAATTCTCTATCACTGTACAGTCTGTTATTTCAAATTTCATTTGACTCTGTGTTATCAGTCAGTCTCATGTTTGTAAAAATATTAAGATAAAAGGTGATAGGAGGCTACACACCTCCCAAAGTTAATGCCTGAGGCACTTACAGAGGTAAACTGAACTCTTCACAGAGTTTTAAACAGCTTCAATAATATAATCTACATTCTCAATTTACTTGTTTTTATAGTAAGTACCCAAAACCAGTAATTGATCATGAGCATCTTTCTCCTATTTGAACGTTGGCCACCCCCCCACCCACCTAAAAATCAAAATAACTGACACAAAAAACAAGTTAACCCGTTTTAACAGAACTCCAGTATATACTTCAAAATAACAGGTTGGAAATGAAAAGGATTTCAAGGGGCACATAAGTGAAAGAAGAGAGAGAGAGAGAGAGAGAGAGAGAGAGAGAGAGAGAGAGAGAGAGAGAGAGAGAGAGAGAGAGAGAGAGAGAGAGAGAGAGAGAGAGAGAGAGAAGCGTTCGCAAATGATTAAACGGGACGCAACTGTCTGTTTCTTTGACAATACTGGTATATCACGGGTTACCTCCCTGTCGAAAATGTACACTGAATTTGGCAGTTTATTGTTACTACCTCGTTATGTTTGTCACAACAGAAAGAGCCCCCCCCCCCCCCCACCCCCCACCGTTGTACGTGCAACCCTAAAAAGAAAATAACAGACACGAATGTTCTGCACTCATGTGCACAAACAAACATGATATCAACTTTGCCACATTGTTTTTGTGTCTTCTTTACCACTGAGCCAAGGATGCTTCAGAATAGCACATAATAATATCAAACAAACGCCAGCAGGAACAAAATGGACCTACCAGAGCAACGTGGCCGATATTGAACCAAACATCCCCTAGGATGATATCGTCCTCCGCCAGTGAAAGAGCACGCTCAAAACAGGTGAGGGTCATGTCGTACTGCTGAGAGTAGAAACAGCAGAGACCCAGATTGTTGAAGAGTTCAGCATTATACACACCCATCTGAAGCAGGCGCCTGAAATAGAAATAAAAACAAAATCAAATAAACTCTTACCGACTGAACCATAAAGATATTAGTACAGGCCCTTATCCTCTATTTGTGTCTGCTTCCTTTGTTTGAAATAAACATTATTCGCACAGTAGTTTCTTGTACGACTCTGTGTTTGAAATCATATCTACTTTGCTGAGTTTTAAAAAACAATTACCAGCACAAAAAGACATACTATAGTGGTTGGTAGAGTAAATCTGAGTAATGGTTCACTGTAAGACAGCAGAATAACAGATACGTTGGCCACACTAGACCACCAATCTTTTTCCACAAGACAGAGCAACTCGGGCTTTTCATTTCACAGAATTCACCTGTAAAACTTGAGGGCAACTTCTGGCTGATCTGAGTAGAAGTGATGGGTGGCTATACAAGCAATTGCTTCGACATGCATACTGTCAAACTTTAAGACATTCTTGTAGAAAGCAACAGCATCATCCATCTTGTCAATACCCTGAATGAAGACAAAAGAAAAGGGAGAGGTGAAAGGTCAGGAATATATTAGTCATAAAAACTCAGAACAAAATTTTCCAATAGCAGTCTACTGGGGTGATAGTCAAAAGTACTCAGATCTACCACAAAACAAATTTTACTTCTTAAGACGAAGGCAGTACTGCAACAAGACGTTATCACGGTGCATGCAAATAATACTGAGAGTATTGACCTAACGAACCTGATCTCAAGAATTAGAATGCAAACACTATAACTGTTGACATTCTGTACATAAGACAAATTCCTTAGCGTACAGTAGTGTAAATCTAGAAGTCTACTCAAGGGAGTTCAAGAATACAGGTTCTGTAGGTTTAGGGCTCAAAGCTGTATGCGGAGGTAAAAAAATCCCTAAAAGTAAATGGTGAAAGGAGGAAACATGAATCTAAAAACTCAAGACACTTCGGACAGAAAGAAAAATACACATGCTTTCTTGGTTGGCGTTTAAAAACTTGCACCTATTTAGTGTTCCCATTGACACAGTTGACCATCTAGGAGGCTGGCTGCTTCCACTCCGCCTGTCAGAGCCAACAAGGGCTGTGTGGGATACATTCTACAGGGCAGAGATAGATATACCTGATAAAATATCTCCTCTCCTTGCCAATAGAATTCACACCTTTATGATGTGAAGCAAAGAGAGAAACAATTACACTACAGAAAGCAAAAGCGGTAACAGACAAACCTCATGAATTCTTGCTATCCCTGTGAGCAGAGTAGTCTCTCCAGGGAACTGGGTCAGAGCCTGCTTGTAGATCTCCACAGCAGCCAGGGGCTGGTCAAGCCGGGTGTACACTTTGGCCAGGTGCAGGTAAGCATCGATGACCTCATCGCTCTTCAGCACTGACCGTAACTGTTTCTCAGCATCACGGTACATGCCTAGCCTGAACGGATATGAGAAATTTTGTAGATAAAAAACTTCACTACTCAACTCGCCCTAAGGAGTGTATGCAGATGCCTTTACATGGAAAAGATAGCTTTCACACTGGTTTCTACAGGCATCTGATGTCAAATGGTCTCCTTAGTTTTACTTTTAGTAAGAGTTTTACAGCACTTGGAACACAATAAGGTTATCAAATCTTCACATATCTCTCACTAAAGGAAAATGACTTTTTAAAACTTTCATGAAGTTATTTTTTTGACTGTGCATAAACAAAATATTCCACTCAACAGAGGGCATTTTAGGCAGGACACTAGAAATATTGGTATGGATAAAGACAAAGAAAGGAGGTGCAAGATTCCAAACAAAAGTCACAACTTCTTTATCTGATAATAGATTGAAATGCTTGTCATTTTTTCATTAGAGTTTTTGCATACCTTGTGTGTAAGCTATTATCCTTATAACTCTAATTTGACAAGTGGGGACGGGTGGATATGGGGCTTATTCCAATAATATAAATGTTTGTGATAATATAGCAAAGAGTAAAAGTAATTTGATAACATTAGAACTCAATGAGAGTACAATTTGAAACTTGGAAATTAAGGCAAATGCCAAGGGGTTTATCTTTCGAGTCACAAATAAAACAACAGATCTTGTGCAAGGTGAGTATGGGCTGAAAACTCTGTCATCCTAAAATTAGTGGAAATACAGTGGGATGTAAAGGAACCTTTAAACCTTGCTTATACCCCTATAATTTCAACTACTATTGTACAAACCAGCGCGTAAAAAGGGGGCTCCGTTAGAACAAAACAAGTCAACTGTTACCTGTAATAGCATTTTGCAAGAGCTACTTTCCACCACCAGTCATTAAACTGACTCGCCTCTGTTGCTAACGCAGCCAGCTCCAAAGCCTAGGGAGATGAAATTATCATAATCATGAAGCAGGTGAACATAAAAAGAAAAAAAAAAGAATACTCAATCAACCAGAAAAGAATATAAACGTGTAATTTTCCCTCTAAACTGACTTGCCTCCATCACTAAAAAACCTAGCTCCAAGGTCTAGGAAGATGAAATAGCCATGACAAAAAACACAAAAGAAAAATCATATTCATAAACCTGTATGGTCTCGAAAGAATATATAAACTTGTAATTTTCACTCTGAACTACAACCTCATGGGTTTCTGATTCCAAATAAATTTTTTCCAACCAGAAAACTTCCCAGGTTTAATCTCTTGACAGTATTTTGAATGCTGATATCGAATATTGATTACTAGTTAAAATCTGCTAAAAATTATTAAAGATATGAGTTAAAAACAGGCAGACTAAAAATTAATCACATCAAGCTGACAATCTAATTTGCTTCACCAAAATCATGGAGCTTACATTGCGAACATCGTTTTCGTGATGGAAAATGTACTCAAACAGCCCTTTAGCAAGATTTGGCCGGGCGGCATATTTTGCAAAATTGAGTCTGGCAATGTTGATGAAAGGGCCATCTGGAGTAGACAACATTGACGCCTGAGGACATGAAAAGTGAAAAGCATGATCTTCAAGCAACAAATTACTACCGGCAACAATACTATTTGAGTAAGTACATCAGAACGGTGACTATCTTAATCGGTGGCTGTAGTTGATTTGTAGTTTTTGGAGAGTCTTAACATCAATGGTCACATTTCTGTTGGAACAGACTATCTGAGGTGGCAGTAAAAATGAATACAAGTACAAGGCAGAGATTATAACACCAGAGCTATGACTATCAACACTCAACTTGCTCTTTCAAGTTATATTTTTATGGGCATAAAAGGGGCGGGGGGTAAGGCGTTAGAGAAATCCCTAGTTTAGGAAAAAACAATTTTCAGTAAAAGAATAAATCCTTTTGAACTTTCAATCATCATCAGAATTGTATTTTTAGAGCAAATGATTAAGATGCATCTAACAGCAGAGAAAAGTTGAACTGTACTTTTCAAAACTAACAAACCTCGATGAGATTTTGCAGGGAGAGTTAATATTATGCAAATCATACATCTCATAAGTTTTCCTTGTAAAAGAAAACTACGAACGTACCGTCCCAAGGCGAACAAATCTGCCAGATGCACTTGTAACAGGTCGAGCAGTGTGTGCTGTACGAGGGGTACGAATGGCCTGCTCCATAGTGCCTGGTCTCCCCGACTGAGTGCCTGGTCGGACAAACCCAGACAATGGCCGTCCACCCTGAGTTGTTGGTCTGTGCAAGCAATACAGTGGTTTACCAGAAAAATAAAGGATATTATAGTGGAATCTATTAATTAACTTGAAAAATAATTTAGAAACAAAGTGAAAACTTATTGGAGTATAAACAATTTATAGTGCTGAACCAAAAGTTTTCTAAGATCATTGATTTAATTTATTCCATTAACCTAAACACACATACACATACACACACACGAGTTACCCTCATTGTTGACTTATAAAACAAGTTTCTCAGACTAATCATACTTGACTGACTGCTAAACAAAACCAATGTTAAAAATTGGAACATAACTGTCATAAAATAAATAGTTTTACTTATCTAAAATCATGAAACTTTGTAAACATCACATGAAATACTAAGGATTTTGAAGACTCTAAAATGCACCAAGATATGGAGATCCAAAAGTAGGCAAATAAACTGAACAAAAGAAACTATATCTGCAGTACTTACCTCATACCCTGACTCGGCCCACTTTGTGCAGTGCCTGGCTTTCTCAAGGAAGTACCTGGCCTTGATACGTTTGCAATAACATTATCGTCCATGAGAATTTCAGCAATACCTTCTTCGTCCACGTCCACTTCATCTACATACACTTGAGCTGTTAGAGATCGAGTCTTGAGGTGCCAGGCAGCCTGAAGGTGATCAAGATAATATATATATTTTTTAATACATGAACACTGTGATATCAAAAAGTAGGTGAATTACTTCTTATGAAATTTTGACACCCCCCCCCCCCCTCAGTGAATATAGAAATCTAGATCTAGAATCTAGATAGATCTATAATGTTCCTGCCGTTGCAGCAGTGCACTTGCCTTTTTTACTTTTATGTGCATCCTCTTCAAGTCAAATGGCAATGATGCTATTCTTCATGCAAAATAAGGTAGCAAACAACAAACAAAACGAAAGATAAATAACTAAAAGGGATTATGATTGTTAGGAAAATAGAACCTGAAAAAAGCTGTAAGTTAGTGTAAAAGTATAGGCCCTAAGCGTCTATGACAACCACTTCCAGGCCAGTCGAATGAAATGTGAGGAATCCAGGACTTTCCACACACCTATCCACAAGATCTACAATCTAGATCTAGAAATTATTTACTAAGACTACCAAGACTTAAACATGAGCTTATATACGAACCTGATCATAAGGATTTTTTTCAAGAATCTTTGTTGTAATTTCAACACATTCCTTGTATTTCCTTCTCCTGAAGTAGCTGTACGCCAAGTAAAGAGGATCCATCTTGTTGTCTACAGTGGCTACCGATCGATTAGAATTCTTGTGCAGTGTGTATCGGAACTCCGTACTGCAAATACAAAAGATTGACTTCCACAATTTGCGATACGGATCAATAATAATAATAATAATAATAATAATAATAATAATAATAATAATAATAATAATAATAATAATATCAATATCAATAATAATAATAATGATAATAATCATAATAATGGATAATAGGTCCATCATGAACACCCAAAGAAGAAGAGAAGCAATTGACCTCGGGTAAAGAGAGTAAAGGAAAGGAATAGACTGTAGATCTAGATCTAGATTTCTAGGCCTAATGTGTAAATTTTGCATATATCTTGGAAAGATCACAAGCACCTTTCCCTTTTCTAAAGTAGTTTGCTATCTCCCTAAACATTATAGTGGTATTATTATGATCTGTTGGTTGAACCTTCTTAGGCAGGGATTCGCTTGAGACTTTCAGCGCTTTTTTTTTTTTTCAAGAAAAAGAACCCACAAACGGAGTACTTAAACTGGGCCAGAACCAATACCAGAATTTGACTGTCTTGATTTTCTCGTTTGTTTGGCCGCATTTGCCAAAAGAATAAGATTTTTTTTCTTCTAAAAAGTCTTGCTGCCACATGTCAAGGCTTTATGCTTACTGTAATCGGTTAAAATGGAGGGTTGCCGACTCATCCATACAGATAGATCAATCTTTCAAAGAAGTCTCCAGAGTGTCTTTAAATATTTGGGTTGGGGGGGGGGGGTGCACCCATGCATTATAATGAAACAATGCACAGAATTATAGTATAATAATATTACTACTTCATGTATTATGTGTAAGTGCAAGGACCTAACAATACTGTAACCTCCTTGGTTAAGTACCAGTGAGACAAGGGAAATAATTTTGTTACTGAATATTATATTGTATGGTCATTTAATTCACAAATATTCCACAGTTATGTCCCTTAGGTGGATAGACCACAAGATGAACGTGGTCGTGAAGCAGATCGACTGAAAGACACCCCTTCTCATAATTATTTCAAACTACATGTATATCATCTTATTGCGCAAGAGTAGATGAAATTGAGAAAATTGCCAAAAATATGTACAATAATATTATTATAAGCTAGGGGCACAAGATGAAATTAAAGAAATACACTTGTGCAAACAAATTAATAATGTGTTGAACAAAATGTAAATATCCGTAAAAGAAGACGAAAGTAAACTTGAAATGAGGAGAGAGATGAATTAAAGGAGGAAAAGAGAAACACAAATACAAAAGGAATAAGAGAAAGTTCGACTGTAGAAAGAGAAACGATAGGAAACCACTAGTCTCAAAGGGAGAAAAAGGAGAGGAAGAAAAACTACAAAAGACATAATATTAATAATATTCATAAAATTATAGCCTCCAGCTGAAAAAAATATTTGTTCTCATAACTGACCGCATGTTGTTTGAGGTGTATTCCTTTATTAGTTACATATTATACAAAATAGAACAATACCAAGACCTTGCCTTACTTGCTTGCTGCTGACTACTTTGACGGCCTTGAATTGTGTAGACAGCAATGCTTTTGCCAGTTCAGCAAGGCCTCACTACTGGATTTGCCTGTAACCCCCCCCTCCCCCAAATAAATAAATAAATAAATAAATAAATAAATAAATGAATAAATAAATAAATAAATAAATACATAAATACATAAATACATAAATCGAGGAAGGGATTGGTGGATGAGTGATAGAATAGATAGGAAGATGGATCGACGGACGTTATGGAAGAAAAATCCAGCTTCTAAAGTAACATTTTTTCCCCTCTTGCCTCTGCTCAGTCGACTGAATAAGAACCATAATAATATAAATAATTAAACGGGAGCTCTATTCTTGAACTCGTAATATTTCCGGGAAACTGCATTCTAGACGACAACAATAATTGTGTAACACCGAATGCTTTAGCTAATTAAATTTTAAAAGAAAATCAAGAACACAGAGGAGGAACAAGTGTAAATAACAAAAAAGTTGGGATTACATTTTCCTTATGTTTTCTCAGAGCCTTAAAACCCCCCCCCCAAAAAACCCCTCACACAATTTCGAGTATTATTAAATCATTTTTTTCTTCCAAATGTACAAGAACCTTAGCTGATGATAAATAAGTAGCTTTATCTGTTGGTTATAACCAACGTTGGGATTTGTAATCGTATCAAGGTGTTTGCACGTTCAATTGTCAATATTGAACTGCTTTTGCTCTAATTATTGTGTTTACTTTTCATGGGAATTCAAGCAAAACTTTTAGAGACATCCCTAAATCCTCAAATTACATTGATCTTTCGTTTCGAAAAAAATATTTGTAGCTAGGGTGTGAAGCTGAACACGTAGCAAAGAACGAGTTCCGGCACATGTGAATGTAGGGTACTTGCCTCATGAAAATGCATATCGAAATTGGAAGCCTAGAATGAAAATGCAGTTTGTAACGAAATTGCCCAAATACATTTTGATGTAGTCCTCGAGGAAGAGGGTATCAAGAGACAAAACTGCTTCGGAGATGGTTGTGATTATTAACATTTATGATAAAGAATAACATTCGTGACAAGTTCCATCTCCGGATAGGAATTTATTTGGTTAAAGGAGTCACATTATGCGTTTTTGTGGAAAAAATAAGGTCATTAGAACTTTTTTTATGATTTGGCGTATCATAAAAAAAAAGGAAATGATTTTTTTAAGAAGGAAAAAACCAACAATCCCACCATTCATAATTGAACAAGAAACAATTGAAATCACGGATTCATACAAATATCTTGGTCTTACAATCGACAACAAATTTACATGGCAAAATCACGTAAACAATATCGTTAAAAAGGTAAATCAGAGGCTTTACTTTCTGAGGAAACTTAGGTCTTTCAATCTGAATCCACCCATTCTTCAGATATCCTATACCACCACAATAGAAACTTTGATAAATTTTGGTATCTCTGGCTATGGTGGTAATTTGGGAGAGAGAGAGAGAGAGAGAGAGAGAGAGAGAGAGAGAGAGAGAGAGAGAGAGAGAGAGAGAGAGAGAGAGAGAAAGTTCTACGGAGCGGGTTGTTTCAGCACCTGAGACATGTCGTTGTATTTACTAATGTCCTGTCTTCTTGTGCGTATGTGTGAGTGCACCTCTAACCTTTGTAATGTCTATTGCCATTGTTAATGACAAAGACAAATTTCTCCCTGCGAGATGAATAAAGATTGTCCTTGCCAATGTCCTTTATTGATTATGTGAGGTGCACATTGGTCAAGGGGACTTTTAGAAGGAAGAAAAGCACTGCGTGTTCGTCTTGCCGTCTCGGTCTTGCCCCTTCTTAGACAAAATCTCTTGTTTTGATTTCAGACTTCGATTCGACAAGCATCGAAACGGCGTCTTAGTTCTGTAATCACATGAGGCAGATACTGTTGTTGGAACTCTGGGAAGAGTAAGTCGTGGCAGGGCGAAATGGGAGGAGGTAGGGGGT